ACCCTTGTCTTGTTCCTGATCTCAAAGGGAAGGCTTTCAGCTTTTCTCCATTGAGGATAATATTGTCTGTGGGCTTATCATAGATAGCTTTTATCATGTTGAGGTATGTTCCTTCTATTCCGAGGACTTCAAGGGCCTTAAACATAAATGGGTGTTGAACTCACAAAGTCATTCTTTTTTAGGCTTTTCAGAGTGAAAGAACTGGTGAAGCTTTATTTATAAGAACTGGAAAGTTTTATTTGACCTGAGTTTTGTTTTATTTTTTTCCCTACAAAGATTTTTTATTTATTTATACATACAAGATCTGGGGTGTAGGCCAGAGGTGCTGGGGATGAGAGGATTCACCAGAGACAGAGTGAAGAACAGAACAGGTGAATCTACTGAAATACACTGTTGAGGGGAGCAGCAGTTGAGATAGGAAAGTTCTGCTGGATCATATGGGTCAGCTCTCTGGCTGGGGATTGAACTCATGCTACAGTGGCTGCCTAAAACTTGATAGTACTGAGGCTTTAACCTCTGTGCCACTAGGGAGGACAGGAACTCATTTAACTAAGGAAAGCCTAAGATTTTGCAGCAGGCAGTACTGGGGCAAAGAGAAACTATCTAGGCTAAAGTAGTGCTGCAGGACTACCTGAAGAATTCCAGCAGGGACAACCACAGACCAAAAAATAATCAACATTGGTATCACCATGATTTATCAAGCACTTACTGTAAGCCAGAAAGCTGCCTAAATATTTTATATGTATTATCACACTGAATCCTCAGAACTACCTGAAAGGAGGTGATAAAATCATTTTCCAGCTGGGGAATGTGAAGCCCAAGAACTGAAAAGATTACATAACCAAAGTCTCCCCCAGTTATTAAGTGCGAACAATAGTGCTTGGACTGATGTGATGTGGGTTTGTTTACCTTCAAAAGTGCACTCAACTGTCGACCTGTCTCTTACTGAAAATTTTTCTTATTATGTGGAAAAGAAATTATTTTCTCCTCCCTAATTATTGGTCACAGAGTTAAAGAGAGAAGAGCAGACAGGAAGAATTTGATTCTAATATCACCCGGGTCATCAGCTTTTAGATAAGGAAGTCTTGACTGTTTGTCTTGTCTAATCTTTAATGAAACTCATTGGGGAGGTGGCTGTTCTGATTTGCTTCTAAGAATATTCTGCAGATGGCTTAAATGAGGCCCTGAGGGCCACAAGCAGGGAGTCCTCAGGGTCGGTGGTTAAGCAGTGATTCTGTGTAGGGTTGCCAGATAAAATATAGGATTATTAGGTCAATTTTGATTTCAGATAAATAATAACTTAAAAAATATAAGCATGTCCTAAATATTGCATAGGGCTTCTCTGGGTAGAACCCTGGTACATGTGAGCTCACTGTTTCATTCCCCATTTGAGCCTCAGACCCTTTGGTGAAGTTGTGCCCATGGGTGCAGGAAGTAGGAGCTGACTTCTAGAGACTGCAGCTGTTGTGGTTGCTGGATGAAGTGGGGGCTTAAGCTTTTTTTTTTAAATGGAGTTTCAACTTCTTACTCTGTAAATGAGAGTGTTGGACATCTACGTAGTTGTGGACAGATCACTTTGCATAACTTTTTGACAGTGGTGATAGTGTTCCTTATAGGGGGGCGATAGGGACTCCTAGGCAGGAGGAAGGAACTGGGTGAAGAATTGAATTTCCTTCTTTGTCTGGGTTGGAATTCTCAGAACCTGTAAGCCCTGAACTTCTCCTTAGTGGCTCCTGGAACTCCTGAACACTGGCAAGACAGCAATCTTGTCCTTCCAAGTGGGAGAGAATATGGAACAGCTGGCTTTGCCTCCTGATTCTAAGGAATTGCTGGAGGAGGCACAGGAGCTATGGGGGGAAACTAGTGTGGGTTTGGGCTGGTGGGAGCGTATGGGTCAAATGAGCCTGGGAGGAGGTGACAGGAGAGATGAAGTGGTGGAAAGATGAAGAGGGGGAGAGAGGTGGGAGGGAAGAGGCATTTTGAGGTCCAGATGAGTTGGTGCTATCAATTTTCCTTACCTAGTGAGTGGGCATGCTTGGGAACAAGAGCAGATGAAGAATGTCTAAGTTCATTGTTTTTAGTACTGGGGTCAGTGTTGAGTTGCCCTTATCTTTTCTCTGCTACTGGGAAGCCTTGCAAGCACTACTCCTGGTCCCCTGAGATGGTGGGTCTTTCTTTCTTAGGCACAGCACAGAGGGGGTGGGTTAAGGCAGGTCAGATGGTGGCAGAGCCCAGAGATGCTCTTTCAGAGAGGCCACGGAATCCCAGTGATTCAGGAGCAATCTGCCAGGTCCAGGTGGGCTAACAGGCCTGAGCTATCTGTGTCTCTGTGCTTGAGAACTGAGATTTGAAAATGTGGACTGTGGGACTGGTGCCAATGCATGGTGTAGATGTCACACGTGTATGTCCAGTGAAATATGTTACTGAACATATGTAATGTGGATCTCTGAAAATCTGGGTGCTCTCCCTTCCTAGAATTGGAGTCTGGGAGTGTTTTCAAGTGTGCAGTTGTGTTGCCATAGATAGGGGAGCTTCAGGCATTACAAAGCAGTGAATTTGGAGCAGTTGTGAGACAGCCCCTGTGTATTGCTCCTGCTCAACTCCCCAGCTTCCTGGGTCATACCTTTTTCAAAGGCTCTTCAAGATGCCCCTCACTTCCCTCACTGATTCAGGTTCTCCGCTGGGGTTCTGAAGAGGAGCATTGCCATCTGGTGGCAGGCTGAGGAGGTGCCAGGACAGGTAGCTGGGCTCTTGGTTCTCACAAGGGTTCTTTTGCCTTTCAGGAACTGAACTAGCCTGAAAGTACCACTGCGTTGTCTAGATCATGCATTTTGGCTCATTACCCAGGGAGGCATGGCAGGAAAGTAAGCTGAAGTACTGAAAGACAGGTATAGGGAAAGTTGAGTGGGGCCTCTGGACCCTTGAATCTGGACCCTATTCCTTAGACTGCCAGTCTCAGATTTCTCCTCTGTATGGGTGGCTAACCATATCTAGCCTGTGGGGGTGATAGTGGGTATTATATGTAAAAGTGTGGGTAAAGTAATTGGCTTAAAGCCAAACCTGCTGTTAAGATAAAGGAAAAGGTAGTGGCTATTATTGATACAGGCTAAATTTCAAAAGTGCAAATGAGAGTTGTGTGTCCTGGCAGGGGAAAGTGAGCAGAGAGGTAATATGTCTGCTGCGATGCCATCCCACATTCTAGAATTTTGTGTTTGGGTAGCTGCTCCAAATTGCACACTTAAGCAAAAGAAGGAGTCTCTTTTCTGGAAAGAAAGTAAGTGGCCCAGTAGGAAACAGAATCAAGAGAATGGACATCCAGGTTCTATCTTCTTAGCAGTTGTAGAATCTGAACATGGTAGCAGGGCTGTTCCTCATGTGGAAGTGTTGGCTATGAGGACTCCATAGAAATGTATAAAAATTTGCTTAGGGGTCCCAGAGAGCAGATAGGATCTTGTCAGGAAGAAACTCTGGAAAGTTGTGGGACACATTTTATCTTTCATGTCCTCCCAAAGAGATCCCTGAGAGTCAGGCGTCCTTCTACCTGTTACTGTTGTTGTTTTTTAATGTTAGGCAAGCTACTCACTCTCTGGGTCTTAATTTTCCCAATTGCAAAATAAAGAATTAAATTTGATGATCTCTAAAGTGAGCCCTGCCTCAATTATGGACTTTGGATTGTTTCCTATTCTTTGCTTTACAAATATACTAAAGAGAACTATTCGTTGATCCCACATGCTAGATTTTGAACAGAAAGACAAAATCTGGTGCTCTGTTGAATGACTGGAGATTTCTGATAGGATGTAGGTGCTATTTTCTCAGATGCTAGTATGTTCTAAGTACAAGGCTCAAACGGGAGAATAAACAAAGACTCTGCCCTGTCACACCGGGCGAATCAAGGTACTAAGACCGTATCAAGCTATTATAGCCCTGGTTTGAGAGGATTGGGTGGGTCACTCACTTTTCGCTTCTGAAGCAGCCAATCCGTACATAGCAATTCGCGTTTTTCCTGAAAACTACAAATCCCAGATGACTGTGCGCAGAGGATGAAGTTCTCATGCACCAATCAAGATTTAGATGGTGCCGTCTGAACTTCATTTCCCAGACGTCCTCGGGACTCGTCGATATTCCTCCGCTGGCGCTGGCGTTCTCCTCCCGCTCAGCTCGCGAGCCTCGCGCCAAGTTTGTGCGCGCGCGCGGCACGTAACACGCGAGTGACGCATAATATGTGGGCCGCTCTAGAGCCGTAGTCGCGCTGTGTGTGAGTGAGGGAGAGTGAGTGCGGGACCTGAGGCGGTGTGTGTGAACTGTGGCCGCTGGAGGGGTCAGCGGGGAGCGGCGGAGCCGCCCGGGAAGGTGAGTGGCGAAGGGAGGGAGTCGGCTTTCCTGGAAGGACGCGAGGAGACGGGGCGCGCGGGCGGGAGAGTGGGCGCAGTGCTGGGGGAGGGGCGGCACCTGCCTGGGCCGCCGGCGGGGAGGGGGGCGGGCCGGGGCTGTCGGGGAGGCTGGGCCTGGGGCCTGACAGGACTTTTCCTTCTCCAGATTCTTGGCTTGGGGGCGGGGCCTCCACGTTCTTCCTGCTGTCCCCAAAAGAAGCTTCCTGAGAGAAACTCTTCCGCCCCGAGTAGGGGGCATGGGTGTGCCCGCCCCTGTCCGGGGAAGGGGGTGCCTCTCATTTCCCTGATCACCTTTTTCCTCCCTATCCTCCATTCCGAACGGGCTGGAGGGCTCCATCTTTCCTACCGTACAGTGGCCCCCATCCCAGACTGTCCCCGCCTCCAACTCCAGCCACCTGGGCGGGCTCTCCCCTGTTTGGTTCCTGCCACTTCCCCCTGCACCCTTCGGGCTTTCGGACAGGGCGATTGGGGGGGGGGCGGAGCTTTCGGACACTCCTCCCACCTCCTTGGTGGAGGGGAGAGGGTGGAGGGAGGTGTGCGCATCCTGCAGCGTGGAGCCAATTCTTTGAGTGCCCGCCAACTTTTCGGAGCTTAATTCTTAGGGTTATTAACATTTTCAACTGGGTGGTCAAAGTCGTTAGCTTAACTCCCTCTTCCTATACGTTTCTGTTTCGCTTCCTCTTGTTGCAGTATTAGCTCTAGGGTTTCTTCACGTTTGTTGAAGTTTTGGAGCGTTTGTTATACTTTCTGAGTCCCAAAAGATTTCGTCCTTGTCCAGTTTACATTGACCTAAGTTTTTCTCATTCTGCTTTTTCAGTGGAGCCCTTTAATTAGTCTGCATGATTTAATTATTTATATTAGCATCTTCCTGTCCCAAATGCTTTGTTAATGTACAGAATGAGAAATTCATTGTCATTGTCATCCTGTAATTTTCTTTTTCCATTTTACTGGTGTTTACCTTTAATGTTTATGCACGCTTGCCTATTTCTCTCTTTAGGAATCAGTTTGGTATCTTGATGATGTCAAGGTTTGGTTTTGTGTATTTAGCAGTACTATTTTGAATGGTGATGTATTTTTGGGTTTTATGAAGATATATAATGGGTACATAATTTGGGGAATAATAAATCACTTTATGCTCAAAATCTCACATGACTGGTGAGCAGTGTTTTACTGTTCTATTTATGGTACTGTCAAATTTTATAATCTGGTGGAAGATGAACCATGTTAGTTTAAAGTGATTGAGGTTGGTATATTATGAGCTTTCTTTGTTTTTAAGGAGATGGTTGAGGATCTAAATTAAAATTTAGTATTTAATTGGAAATAGTTACAGGCGATCTCATATGTCACACAAATTGGGTAAGTTTTACTTGAAACTATATTCATGGATTTTATTTCAGGTTTTTTTAATTTTAAAGGTTTATTTATTTATGCACACACACCTGTGGTACAGGCCAGAGGTGTAGGGGTGATGAGAGGATTCACCAGAGACAGAGTGGGGAGCAGAAAAGGCAGATGGATGAAGAACACTGCTGAGGGGTGCAGCAGGTGAGACAGGAGAGGTTTGTTGTGCTATGTGGGTCACCTCCAGGCGGAGTCCTAACCCATTGTGCCACCAGGGAGGACCTTTTTTTTTTAAAGAAAAATGACTTTATTATTTGACAGACTTTTGTTTCAGGATTTGTAACATTTTCTCCATAACATGGGCTTTATTTTATTTTAGACATCGATATAATTTCTGACCAGTCAGCCATTCAGTATCATGTATTAGAGGACAAATTTTATGGTTAAATTTCAAAGGATTACAAAGTAGTTGGGAAATGGTTGTGCTAGGATAATAATGTACAGTGAAAAATCTTTCTCCTATCTTTATCTCTCAAAAAGTCAGTTGCCTGCCACAGAATAGACATAATCCATGTTTTGGGGTATTATTCCAGGAATATTTTATTCTGGGAGAGGCACACATACTCTTTGCTTTTCTCAGTTGACAGTATATATTTGAGAGTGGATTCAGATTAGGAAAGGAAATGCTTACTGACTTTTCCCAACTTTTAGTACGATAGTTTTTCTTTCTTTCTTTCTTTTTTTTTTTTTTAAAGATTTTGTTTACTTATGCATACGGAAATGGGGTACAGGCCAGAGGTGCAGGGACGGTGAGAGGATTCATCAGATACAGAGTGGGGAGCAGAACAGGCAGATCGAGGAAGTACACAGCTGAGGGGAGCAGCGGGTGGGTCAGGAGAGGTCTGTTGCGCCATGTGGGTCACCTCCGGCCTGGGGATTGAACTGGCACTGAAGTGACTATGGCTTGGCTTAGCTTCGCACGCAGTGCAGCGCTCCAACCTGCTGCGCCATCAGGGAGGGCCCAGTATGAGATTTCTATAGAACAGTTGAGAGCAGTAAAATGAACACTTGTTAATCCAGATTCAACAGTTCTTAATATTTTGTCTTATTTTTCTCTATAGGTACGTATTTTTTAAAAGATTAATTTTTTCTTAATGTATACAAAAGGTAGGGTGAGGTCAGAGATGTGGGGGGCAGGTGAGAGGATTCACCAGAGACAGTGGGGAGACAAAAGGTGGATCTACTGAAATACACTGCTGAGAGGGGAGCAGCAATTTGGATAGGAGAGTGCTGCTGTGCCGTGTGGGTTAGCTGCCTGGCCAGGGATTGAACTCATCTTCAGTGGATGGTGATAGCTTGACAGTACTGAGACTTAACCCCAACTCCTTGTACCACCAGGGAGGCCCTAGGTATGTGTTTCTTTATTTTGTGGAACTATCTGAAAAATCAGTATAAGTTGCTGATACAGTCATTCCTAAAAGCTAAACATTTAGGCAGACATCTTTAGGATAAGAATATTGAACTTTTTTTTGGATAGAACTTTATTATTATCCCATTGTGTGGGCAACATTTTTACTTAACCCTCACAACAACCATTTCCATTTTACAGGTAAGGAAATTGATATTTGGAGGCATTAAATAACTTGACCAAGATCTCACAGGTATGTTGGCAGAGTTGAATACTTGAAACTCTTTTCTATCAAGTACCAATTGATAGGTCTTGGGGACTTCTAAAAGTCCAGTTTTTTCATCTGTAAAAAAAGGACAGAGTGGTTATGAAAATTCAGAATAATGTACATAAATTACTTAGCCAAATATCATTTCATGTTAATATTCACAATGGTAACTGTTTTGTTACTATTGAACAGGCTATAAATTCTGCGTACCACTGAAAGGACTCACTTTAAAATGTGAATTGAGTAATGCCTCTTTACCATATTGTGCATAACAAAATAATGGAATCTTTCATAAATTTTGTATAATAGCTTTTCATTGATAAATCAGTTACCAATATAATTGTTAATTGGTAAACTGGCTATATTTCATCTGGGCAAGTGATTATTCGCAAAGTTATAATTATCTCTGGTATAACTAATCACAAGTTTTAAGAATAATAACAAGTACATACATGTTTTTAAATTGGAAGAATAAAACTTTAGTTTTTTTTGTTTAGCAATTTTTTAAAATTTTATAACAGTTTATTTTTACATCATTTTGTACATTTTTTTCTTTCCATCTCAGTTGTAACCCCTGCGGGTTTCCCATCACCAAGTCATCCATGGGCCATCACCATAATCCCGTGCACTTCCCTCCCCACCCTCCTGTTTTTGATCCCATTCCCC